TACAAAGGCCCACTGAGACCAGGCTAGATATGAAGTCCCAACACCCTTCCATAAAGCCTTCTAAATTTCCAAGGATAAGGCATATATGTAAAGTAAACAAATATTTATTATGTTTTTCTATTTTTGTTTTGTTTTGTTTTTTGTAATGCAGTCAGTTCAGTCTAAGATGAGAAACAGCAACATGTCCCAGAAGCAGCCCTTAGGCTTCTATTGCCTGGAGCCTATGATGCTAATCACATTATGACATCAGTATCTATTTCACTTTGAGTTTAAACCAATCACCCAGCTATTTTAAAATCTTGTGGTGTCAAACAAGCTTTAAGATAAAATTCTCAAATCAGGCCCAAAACTAGTATTTGTCAATGAGTGTAGCTGTCCATCTAAAATATGTGAAACATATTAACAGTCAGGTTTTAATGTTCATAACGTATTAAGTGGTGTTACGCCTAAAATCTAATAATACTTTGCTTTAGTTTTTCAGTTACAGAGTTTATCAGATCAAATCATATTTTCACAAACATAATTGATCGCCACTAAGGCAACTTAGTAGTAAAAATCGTAGGTATAGGGCTTCAATTTAAAGTCTTAATAATTTCTACTGACTTGACCCCAGTGTTACAAACTAAACTAGATTCCAAGATATGTACCATTCATCATTTTAGACAGACTTAATCCAACTGAAATTTCTTTGACTATGATAGTTTCTTAATACCTTGATATTCTGCTATTTACACATGTAAGTATTCTTGATTGCTATTTTTAATTTTATGTTCTCAATAATTGTTTTCAGTAAATTTTAACATTAGTGATGATCTTCTGAATCATTATACCAAAACTATATGCATTACCTGAAAGACTTATTAAAGGGGTCATAGAATGATTATATAGGGTATTTGGTGCTGGTACTTAGGGTCTCTAAGAGGGTGTGTAACATTGGTTGGGCTGAAAGTGGCATATTTGCTGTTCTATGAGCCCTAATGCAAGCCTGGTTAAAAGCCCTAAAATGAGACGGCAGTTTTCATCCTTTTATTGTATGCTCATGAATATTTAGATGAGCTGTGCGCTGATTAGTTGGTTTACAACAAGCGCAGCTGCTGAGCAAAGACGCATCTTATCAACAAGCACTCATTCACTGAAACATCAAATTGTTCATATGATAGGGTAACCAGGCATCCTCTTTTTCCCAGACATGTCCTACTTTTCACACACAGGGCATTCGAACTGAGCTTTCAGCTCTGGTGCACCGAGCCTGATCCGACACCAGCGGCCCCATACTTCCCTCCGCCCTGCTTGCCTTACGGGGCAGGCGGGCAGAAAATACCGTCACCGGGTCAGGTTCGGTCGCTCCGTCCCCGGCTGGCTCGGTTTAAATGTTTGGTCTGGTCCAGTCGGGCCCCCCCCAAAATCTGGTCACCATAGATATGCTAGCATTGCTATCAACAGCTTAGCAACAAATTATTACTTATATCTTGCGGTTGTGATGGCCTTACAGTCGGAACAGACCCTCATTTCAGTAAAAGAAGTTAAGCAAATCCTGCTTTGAACTGTCCAAGATTTTGAAAGCTGTCTTGGGTAATATGCTTAGAGCAAATAAAAAGCTTAGCATCAAACTTTACAGGGATCTTCTGCCTGTCGAGTCTTCGGATCCTTGGGAAGACAGTGATAATATATCTTCACAGGGGGGCAAAAGTACGGGCCACAACTAAATAAGGCAACATCCCCAAAATGACGTCAATTCGGTGCTTCATTTCAGTTTGCCTGTTTTATTGTAGAAGTTTAGAACGGTGAAATTTGCAGAAAAAGGGGCTGTTGATGGGATTTGAAATTCTCTGTTGGTCCATTTCACAGATTGAAATATCTTTATTCATCTATCACGATGTAAACTCAGTTTTGCATTCTATGACCCCTTTAATGTTAAAACTATATGAACATTAACTGTACCTACAAACCTAGAGCAAGTTTCATATGTTAGAACATAACCAATTTTCACACCCTGTTAATGCTGGTAATAGCTGTGAAATTATCAGACTGGACCATTTAATATTCAATTTTTCATTTCAGCTAATTTGAACTGTACATGGCAGATAACATCCATTTGAAAGCATTTATGATCTTTTATAAATCAGTGACAATTAAAGAATGAAGTGAATTAACAATCCGCAATACAAACAATCACACAAAAGTACATTTTAAATATTATTTTTTAGGTAAACAATGTTGGTAAACCAGCTGAAAGCACCTGACACACAAACAAAAGCCTATCCTCAAAGGACTAGCCATCAAACAGAGGATAAACCTTACCAAGTGGTTAACATGACACAGGAGAACCTCAGTGAGGGCCAACATAAAAAACACAACATTCTCACAAGCTTAAGTAGACGATGAATAGAGGCTCTGTCCAAGTTTTAGTACCCGAGGGGATTTGTGTTTATGACCAAACAGTACATTTACAAAGACTGAGCAGGGTTTTTACACTTTAAAACACAGGGGGAATCTTACCAAGCCCCAAATTAGAATCAGTGGGCCGAGTATGGCAGAGTTGTGCCTCATCAGCACTATTTGACTCCTTCCCTGCAGCTTCCCTTCTGCTACATCCAAACTTGGTATGCATTTATCCAGACTTGTACAATCCTAAGCTTTAAAACACATTATTTGGAGATGATTTTAAATTAACTAATGGACACCTTAAGTAATGTAGATAATTATAATAAATGACAGAGAGGCTGTATTAAAGGGTGGGTTAGATAATCTGAGTCAGCATTACCGGAATGTAATTTACTGCTGCATTCAAAGAAGAACATTTGACCCTGAAAATCATAAAATATAGTCTATAGGATGTATCAAAGCTTAAAGTAATATTTTTGAAGCCATCGAAAGACAAATTTTTTTTTCAACACAAAAAGACAAATCAAACCATTTCTACTCTCATGCAATTCAGCAGAAGCCCTACTGTCTGCATCATTTTTCAAAACAAATAACAATGAACACTATAACACTGAGAGTGACACTTACCTTGGAAGATGTGGCAAATGAATTTCCTTCCAGTTTTCACATTTGTAGATTTGCATACATTTCCCATATCATAATAATCACATTTTAGTAAAAGAAACTGCCAATGAGTTGTATAAGTAAAGGAGCTTAATATATATCAGTCCGTTGAAGACATTTATAGATGTGCATCTCTTTACATATCTAGATAATTTGAGATTTCTGCAATTATTACATAGTTTACAAACTGATTTAATATTTTATGTTTCTGCAAACTCCCATAGTAGTACATGGGTTTTGAATGTATTGGTCTAAATTTTCACTAAATAAGGTTTGGTTATATACATATCAAGAACATATGGGAAGAAAATTGTATTTTAAACAAAGCAAAAAGAATAACTTTTTCAGAAAAGCAATTAGAAACATTATCTATTGTTTAAACATTTAAAAGTTTTTGTGCTTTAGGTATTTTAAGACAATACATAGTAGTTTTATTTTCACAAAGTCTGAAGCAATTATAGAATATTATTTTGTTAATCCTAATAAAGTTCCTCAAATTCAGAAGTTTACATACACTGATCACTATATGCTCTATACAATTCGCAAATTTAGAATGCCATGAATTGTAAGCTATTGATTAATTCATTCAGATGATTAAAGGCAATCGGGGGCACCTTTGTGGGTGAATATTAGGCATAATTATTACACACCACAACATTGTATGACACCATTGAATAATCTACAGAAAGGACTTATTAGAGACCTCACTGAGTTTGTTTCATCAGTGGATAGAATTTCAAGATACCTGATGGTGCCACTTTACTCTTTTCAGTTATATGCAAGTATGACAAGCATGATAAGTTTATCTCATCATGCCTTCTAGGAGAGTGACAAGCTCTATGTCCCAGCTATAAATGTGTTTTGGTGCAAAATATATATGCATCAATCCCAGAACAAATGCAAAAGCCTCTTAGGTTGTTGGTGAAACTGGTAAGAGCGTCATTATCCACAGTTAAAAGAGTCCTGTACTGACACTGGCTGACAGATGCCACATTAAGTACAAAGCAGCAAAATGACAAAAAAGTCAATGCTTAAGAGTGGCTTTTACAAAGCATTGATCTTAGTCACAAAAATGTGGGCAAATCAGAAAGGATGAGTACAAAAGTCTGCTTTACAGACCTGCCTCAGTTATTCAGGAGGAATGAGTGATAATGAGTTACCACCAGTTAGAAGTATCACCAAACTGTTGTAGGAAGGTTGTGTAGGACACAACAAAAACATTAGACCCATTTTAAAAGCCAACTCTAATAGATTTATCAAAGGAACTTCAAGAAAACTTCTGAATTTTAATAAAGGTGATAGAACATTTGCCTGTTATTGTGACAGAAACTATTTTAACTGATTAATTCCAACTGTCCTTAAACATAAAATTGTAGATTTAAATTTATTTAGTTGGATAAGGAGAAAAAACATGTGTCATTTTACATATAGGTAAATCTCTGTTTAAAAATATATTTTTAGTTTTACCTTTACTCACATACAGTCTGTGACCACCTATTACATTACACTGTGGAAAAAACGCTGTATTAAAAAGCTCACAATCCACAAACAAAATTCCAAAAACTATAAACTGTGATCAAAGCAACAGATGCAGTGCTGCTCATTAAATAACTAAGTATTCTGTGGACCAGTCACTTTGAAAACTTACCTGTTTAAATGAAGCTTCACATCTATGTCAGATAACAACCCAAAAAGAAGATAGGATTCCAAACTAAAGCATGAGAACTAAAATACACATAACCAATCGGGTCAAAGGTGTGAAATTTAATTGTTAAATCAACACTGTTAAATGTCACAGTGTAAAATATTAAACAGCTATGTGCAAATTTTAGATTAATTCTAGATTTTATACATTAACCCTAAACAAGCAACGTTTACATTTACCAAACTTATGGCAACTTGCTAAATCACAGTTTAACAGGAAAATTATAACAAAATAATTTAAATGTTACCTTGAATGCTCAGTAGGGACCTTACAAGCCAAGTCTCCCCTCTCTGCCCTGAGGAGAGTCAAATGGGAAAAATCAGAAGTCCACTTACCCCACAGAGAGAAGAGGTGAGGATCACAGCCAGGATGGGAGGCCCACAACATTACGATCAACCTCATACACCATAATTCAAACAAAAGGAATGTAGTTCTCCCCAGGTGCAGGTTTTGCACAAAAAACTAGGACAGCAACTGTGTGGTTCATATATCCATATGAGTCTATATAGCTTCCATGCAATAAATGAACAAAAGGAAAACAGAGCAACAAAGCTGGAGCATGTGAATTCAGAGCAAGAGCAGCACCTACCTTGAAACCCTCTAAATAATTTGTTGAAAATGAGTTTTTAAAAGTGCAAGTGACTATATATAATTCAGCTTAAGTATACAATGCCAGAGAAACTATTAGCTTAGTGAATTTGGAAAATTAAAGAGGGCAGTACCTTTACTTTTACCTATAAGATTTGATGAAATGTTCCGGTAGAAAGCAGATTCCAGACAAAGAGGAAAAACAAAGGGAGAGGAGACACCAGTAAGTGTCTTAGCTAAATAGGAGGATAGTGGTGGAAAGGATAGAGGCTTGATGGCTGCAAGCACAGGAGGGAAATAGGAAGCTGCCATAAAAAATAAAAACAGGAAGCTACATTGCTGCTCTGCTACACCATGACATTATGCAGCACCACACAAATGAAAACAGGAAGACAGAATGTACAGCTGCCTCTGTAGATGCTCTCCACATGCATTAGTATAGCGAGGACAGATGAGGATTAGCTTTAAAACAACGTTAATGCAAGTTGTCCTCTCCTAAAACCACCCCTAATTCAATAAAAATATATAATGTTAGTAATTAAAAAACAGAATTTGTAGAGAAATGTCAGGCCTCTTAAGCAAAACAAAAACTAAAGCAAAAACTGAAGCAAAATCACCCATAAAAAATGTCAGAATGAAATGTTGCAAAAAGGAAAGAAAATGCCACTGATATGAATGGACAGAGAAATCTGAAGCTTCAAGCCTTCGCAGGAGTTAGTGGCTCACAAATTTCTAAGCACAGAGGAACAGGAGGAAGAATGGAGGAATGATGGGGAAAAAAAGGAGCATAGCCCATACCTTGGTCGCCCATCATCAGGTGTGCCAGACCTTAAAGGAAAACAACAGTATAGTCAGCAGAGAACAAGGGATCATGGGAAACTGTGTGACACAGACAAGCAGGCATCCCCTTAAAAGTTGATGTCTGAGTTACAAGAGGACGGTTGGGATAGGGAAAAAGTGGGAAAGACATCAATTTGAGGGCATACAATACAAACAGGGTAACTCTGATGAGCACTGAGGCAACCAGGAAAGGTTGCAATGCATCATCAGCAACTTACGATGCAACATTCAGAAAGCGATAGCCATGTTTACAGTTGTGCAGATACATTTAAAAAAATCAATAGCATCATTAGGGTCAATATAATACAGACATTTAACTCAAAAATTGAAAGATATATTATATGGATTCATTACACAAGGTGAGATAGAGTTTTAGTTTTATCCTTGTTTTTTTTATATTTATGGCTTAAATAATAATAAGAAAAATAAGAATAATAATTTTCTAAAAATAAACCCATTAAATTGCATCTTTAATACAGACATGCCATCCAATTAAGATAATGTCAATACAATGTACTTTAAGCATAATACTTGGATTGTTTGCATAATTAACTGTATCAAAGCCATTAGGTTTTTGCAGACGTACACTTGCAATGAGCCTGTGGCTCTGCTGACATACAAACGACACCCAAGCTGTTTCAAAAGCTGTGCTCATCTTGACTACATTTTGAGGTATATGGTTTTTAACCTTCCTCTTAATACTGGCTCCCTTATTCTCTGTGGGATTTAGGCAAAATCAGTTTGCTAGTCACTATTAATTATTATAAATTCAGGTTCAGCTTATCAGCAGAGGGAGGTGACCTGGCATTTTATAATCACAGAGCATGACCCAAAGCAGGTAAGAGAATGCTTGCTTGTTGGTCAGAGATGACTGGAACTGATCAATCTTAGATTAAAAAAAAATTGGAAGAGGCTTTATAACATTTAACATTTCATTTCTCATGTATTTCAGGTGTCCATGGATTCATTGGAAAGGTAAAAATTCTAGCCAGGACTGAGGCAGTGGCACATATGGAATGTGCCCAGTTAGAGGAAAGATAACAAGATTCAAGAACTGATAGACGCATAAAAAATTTTTTAATAATGCATACCCAAATTCTAACTTTTTTGTTGTGAGAAGTTGTGTTGAACACGATAGCTGTTATAACATGTTATAAAGAACTGTATTATTTTCTTTCATTAATTTGAATCTGTGCACTTTTTATTGCATGTTATTAGGTTAATTTTTGTTGTAGAGAACCCAAACCAACTAAGAAGCAAGCCTTTTATAATATTTAAGCTATACTTCAATCAGGTATAAATATTGTAGACTATATATCTACAATATTTATGGTCTGAACTAATATATCTATAATGACAGTATTGTAGTTTTTGACATGTGGCAATATATTAATCTGGCCAAGATGCAAAAAAAAGAAAAAACACAAAAAAAAACATTTAAGATCCTTTATTAAACTTTCACAAATTAGATAAAGGTTTCACATATCCTCAAAATTGGTTACAAAGAATCTGCTATTAGTGTAGAAATAACTCTGGCCATTTGGCCAATTTTATTTTTTTCCCTTTATCGGCTTAGCCCCAACTCGTGGGACACATCGGCTTTATTTATTGGTGGAGAAGAAGTGTCACACACGTGCTACAAGTCGCACAACATGTAAAATCCAACAGCAGATTAAGAGTGAAGATGTAGCTTTTATTGTGAAATTAACAACTCTTTAAGACAAGACTGTTTGTCAATGTATGAAGGGCGTATGTTGGAGGTTTAGAATCAGTGACCTGGATTGTCTCTCACACACTGGGATCTAGTCACCCTACTGCATATGCAGATTTAATGTTAGGAATCCAGTTTGTGTGGGTTGTGTTATTGTGTTGTTCTCTCCCTCCACCACCAGGTGGCACCCTGTTCTCATTGGTCCTCCCACACACCTGCGGCTGGTTGGCTCATTACTGAGGACTATTTGAGCGGTGGACTGTCACTACCTCAACGCCAGAGTGTTTGCCAGTTTTGGGTACTCGAGCCAAGCTGAGTTTTGCTGAGCCTGAGTCTTTGCTTTGCTGAGCCTTTTTTATTGGAGGATGTCATTCAACTTCTTCTAATTATTAATATTACTCTTATTGGTAGTAGTAGTTCAGGATTTGTATGTATTACAGAAAGGAAATGAAAAAAAAAAAAGAATAAACGATGACTTAATGCAATAACCACTCATGTTAAATTGATACCATCACTTTTATCAATCATTTTCTAACATTTTGACAATAAAACTTAAAGACAATTAGTACTCATGATGAAAATACCCACCTTCGGTATTGTTGTCTTCTGTAGGGAAAGGTAGGCAAAGAGAAAGAGAGGAAGACATTCATTAAGCAGCATGCAGGCAAGTACTGGCCATTGCATGTTTACAACATGCAAGGCATAAATATCACATGCAAGCAAACTATTGTAACATCTGATCAGGAATAACATACTGCATCTATGTACATCTACCCTTTGTGGTAACAATCTGTTTCTTAACTTAGAACAAGGTTGAGCCATGAAAGGGTCAACAAATTTGAGGGTCAACATTGGCATAAAAAAGAAATGTATATAAATATATATGAATAAATTATATATAAATAAATTATATTACACTTTAGAGTGCAGTGTCCAACTAACTTCAATTAAGCTCAGAATATATGGGATTTACATTATAACACAAAAAGCACTTATAACTGGCTTCAAGTTTAAATGATTCAAGAAGCAGTATTGATCACAAAACATGAAAAGGTGAGAGGGAGAGAAATAAACAACTTGAGGCATGTTCATCCTGCTGTCTTCATCCTACTCATTAAATATTTTATTCATTGAACTTTTTTTAAACATAATTTATCATCTGTTGCCTCAAAATATTAATAATACATTTTTCTTTATATAGAAAAGCTGCCCTATGTGATGTAATACACTGCGAGATAAAATAATGGAATCTGTATATATAAAATCTTTAGTGTTTCACAGGCTCAAGTAAAATCTTTTGGAGATTTTGTAGGTGATTTGGTCATAGCACTAAAGAGCAGTTAGATCATCCCTTAACAGTATTATAACGCCAGATTTACTCTTAATTTCGATTGTTTCAGAACTAATGGTCTGTTTTGTGTAAGTGAGAAAGTTACCCTGTGAAATATGTTATTTAAATAAAGGAGGCAGATCCAAAAACAAACAATGATAAATAGGAGAGGTAAACATCATGCTGCCTACATTTATATATATATACTTATCCGACAAAATGATGCAATTTTATAATGTAAAATACAGAAAACAGAATGTGTGCATATTGCCTCTTAAAAATGTATTCATGCAACAGTATTTTTTTGGTCTGGTTATGAGAATCATGATAAAACAGAAAACATAGAAAACTTGATAAAATTAAAAAATGCAATGACTGGGCAATAAACATGCAACATCAATTTACAATGACGCAATATGTAAATAGTCAAATTTCAACAATAGACTCCTACCTCTCCAAAATGGTTTTGTGCCCCAAGTTAAGCAATTTTAATGTTCACCAAAGACTTACCATAACCTTTGGTTCCTTTTTCAAGTCAGACACCATACCATCAATTAAAGTCATTAAAAAGCTTAGACTGCTATTCTCTGGTTTGAGAGACATACCAATATTAGTTCTTTACAGTATAGTTAAATCCATTTCTGTTCATATTCTTTCTAATGTTGTCATTTGGAAACACAATGCAGTTTCTCATTTACCTAAGTTCTAATAAAAAGAAATGCCTATGTAAAAAATATCAAGCAGAATGAACATTGCATGTGAAAATGTTAATTAATATGAATGTGGTCTTTTTTTTTTCTTCCAGCAAAAACAGAACACTTAAAAGAATGAGATACTACTGTCAAATAGTACAAGAACATGCAAACTTTAAAAAAATGTTTATTTTACTTTGATGGTGAAAGGCACAATGCTAAAATAAAATGCATTCTGATACAGCAGGCATGATACTGGCATTTGTAAATAACTAAATGAATAAATAACAAATAACTAATAACACTGATGAATAAAAACATTTGTTAATGTCAAGACCCCAAAAGTACTGACACATACAGTAATACATACATATTACTGTATGTATTACTGTATGTGTCAGTACTTGGTAAAGTTTCTGCTGAAATACAACTTTAGTTTAAAAAAAAAAATTATATTTAGACATTTTCTATGAATTATCACAGCGGGCAAATATTTAAAAAGTTTGGATTGTTTTTAAGATAAATATGGAATTAGCACAGAATTATACTGAGTCCCTTCTTTTTATTCACCAAAGGCTTAAAGTAGAAGCTATTCATTATTCCTATCTAAGTATAGTTACAGAGACATACAATATTTATGCATTCTATAATAAATTAGATCAGAGAACTTTATCCTCCATGAGCTCTAGCCTCTACAGCCAAAAGCAAGCGACAATGACGCTACTGAAGATTAGCTACTTTTTTTTTTATGTAGTTAGTATAATAATAACTCTAATACTGTAATAATAATATTACAGTTTTGTTAAATGCTATCCACACTCCACGGGAACTTAAATATTTAAATATTTCTTTAAGAAATCTACTGACATACATTTCTCCTTATTGCCAGTTACCAAACAAAGTCAGGTATACAGCATGTATTGTTTATGTCTTATCTTAGCCAATTGTTCCACACAAACCGTCTAAAGAGTATCAAGTTTATTAAGAAACTACAACTTGGATCACCACTTCTTTCTTTTTAGATTTTCAAATGTACCATTGACTTGGCCATTCTTGCAGCTTAATTTTCTTCCTCTACAATTTCATTGGCTGCGTAATTAGAAGAATCTGGTCTTTGTCTTTAACTTCTTCTCAAAAGCACATCCGTATATTTTCCTTGTCATGCTTTAAATAAGGCAATTCCATGTGCTTAGAAAAAGTCACATACCATAAAATTCTCAGTGTTGAATGTTTAGATATATTTTATTACAGTAGCACCAGTAATACAAAAGGTAACATGGTAAATAGCCCAATGGCGATATCCTTGCAAATATGTAACACATTGGGAGTGATAGGCCAGGTGATTTGTTTTGTGTTGTTCTCTACTTGTTGAAACTACTGTAACTTCTTCAAATAACAAAACATGTCCTATACATGTGCTCCTGGTGGAGCAGTATAGGAGGCATGGATTTAACTTGTTTACTTAGTGACCAAATGTAGTGCACCACCACAGAGAGGAGCTAATAACCATAGCCAAACAGTGGCTAGGTGAGGCAGCATCACCTGGAACTTTTACAGTACTAGCATTACTAGCACACTGTCAATAATGGTTAGATGACCCTTCATTTGGTGGGTGGCTCTACAAGACCGAGCATGTATTTTAATATATGAAGATATTAACATTTAACAACAACAAGCTGAATTGATCTTGATTTAAAACTAAAACGTTGCTTTTAAATTCAAGATGACGACCTCATGAGGCCCCTAGCCGACACTAAGAGCTATAAGGTTGCCCACAATCCTCTGCATAACAGAATGTATATGCACAGTGTGTCTCACAGAGTTTAACAAAATACATTATTTCATGAAATGTACTGTGTATGGCAAATGGAAATGTTATCACCTTCACATGTCCTGGATTTTATACTGTAATGAAATGCTTTGTCATCTCGATCCATTTGAGTAACATTTTTTTTGTACTTCTTTGCTTAAAGGCTGTAGTGCCAGATTCCCTAGCATTATTCATCTGACGTCAGTAAGGCGGAAGACTTTCTGGATTCAAGACATCAGTCTGGAGCTCCTTTCCTACTCTGGAAAGTGTTTTTATTGTTGACCCCTGGAAAGGTGAAGGGATAGAGGCTTTGAACAGGGAGTATGAGCTATAATTTGAGGTATTTGGATCAAGCTATAGACTCTTGTGAGAAGAACGATCATAGAATACAATCAGAAAACACAACTAGGGTTGGGAGTACCTGGTTCGATCTCCACAGCCTCCATTCTGGGTCTCTGAGCAAGACCCTTAACCGCCGATTGCTCCCTGGGCGCCATACAATGGCAGCCCACTGCTTCCCAAGGGGTGGGTTAAATGCAGAGTGAATTTCTCCAGTGTGAGATCAATAGAGTTCAATTATTATTATTGTTATTATTTGGCTGATCTACAAAACAGGATAGGTCAAAATCACAACGGACAATTAAGTCAGCATAGAGGATCAGGGATGGCCTCCCGTCCATGCATGTTCTGTGTTATAGGGCAATTTTTTCCAACTACCTATCATAATATAATTTTGTTTTGTTTTGAATGATAATAATAATGAGCCTTTCTAAAGACAAACAGGTAGGGTAAAAGCAGTTCATATTAATTTGCCCCAACAGGGAGGAGACTGTTCTCCAAATACTCCTAAACCTGAACTGTCTTTTTTGGGAGCTTTTTATCATGCATTCAACTAGTACAATGCATATTCAAATAACTTTGGTTGTTACGGACCTATGGCATGAATTTGGGTAGTAGTGCTTTTTATTGCATTGACATCAGCTAATATGTGTGGGTGTTCTTCGATTTATTAATGGATTCAGCAGCCGTACTTTGAGATCATGTGAGGAGCATTGTGACTCCCTCAATTTGTTATCCATCGTTAATGTTTTAATTCTTAGTGGATTTTTTTTATTTAAGATTAAGACTTAATAAAAATTGTTTTTATTGTGTCATTCTTATGTAAATGTAGGGAGAAAAAAACAATATCAGCTTCAGAAACCAAAAACTGGCAGCACATATCAGGGATTGTTTAAACTGATGTAAAACAAAACTTATTAGTTCATCTCTTAACATAACGCATTTCGAATATCGATCTAAAAACTGGATTTTTTTCAGCTTTAAAAGCTGATTTTCCATTCGGAGAAGCTGTTTGAACCGAATCTTGTTGTTCTGAATCGCTACTTTTAAACCTTTTGTTTTAGAGAAACTGTAAACCTCCATCTTCCAGTAAAGCAGCTCCTAGCATCAGATCTCTGAACACATCTTCTGTCTCCTTCCTTCAACAGGAAATGCCTTTAAAAAAGGTTTTCCTGAGAAACATGTTGACATGTTACTATTATTTTTGTGTACTTTTTCCCCTGATGTATAGTGTGATATGAAATTCAAACAATCTCTAAAGGCATTTAGTGATATGGTGATTTCAGAAGGGAAAGAACGTTATATTAAATAACATCACCTCACATGATACATTAAAGCAATCCCCCATCACTCTTTTCTGTCTACTGTCTGTCTCGTTCTACTCTTTTCCTCTCTCACACACACACACACCCACACACACCCGCACAGTTTT